AACCTTCTCTTGGAATCACCCACTGGGGCTCTGCCCTCCCAGCTCCATCCCAGAGAATAAATCACACTGTCAGGTCTAATTTGGAACTTGGCTGATGGGCTGAGCAGAGCATCCATGCGTTCTGGCCACAGAGGTCAAGGGCAGCCTATGGTTTTGAGGCCAGTGCTGAAAGGCCCGGGGACTAGACGAGAAAGGGAACTGGGAGGCCAACAGCTGTGGGTTTCTGACACACATCAAAGAAACTGCTGTCTTCTCCCATGAAATTCCTGTCCCAGGCTTCTGCTGTATGAGGCCTGTTCCCAGAACACGGTGCTGCCATATATCCAGGCACTATGATAGCTCAGGGCTGGACACAGGGCAATCACTCACATGTTTGGTGAATAAGAAATCACAACAGTAGAAGCTAACGCTTATTATCTTATAGGCTGATTAAGCTGCCTAACCGCTGAATACCATAAGGGCTAATGAATGTAAGCTGCCACAGCTGCCACTGCCGCCGCCACCACCACCATCAACCACCACCACCACCACCACCATCTCATTTACTATATAAATGTCTGGCACAAATTCATCATCATATTTTAAGCCTCAGAACAACCAAAGGAGAAAACAGAAGCTCTCAGAGTTAAGCTGCTCACTTGGGTCTATTCAGTAACTCAGATAAGACTATGAACCCAGGCTGGCTGAACTCTAGAACCTGCACTCTTGGCCAGCAGGTTGTAGAGAAAATACAGGAAAATGGTCAGGGCCCCTCAGATGTTTAGAATCTTGCCCAGCATTTGATGTATGTATGCACATGTGCCCAGGTGTTCCATTTAATAGAAGAAGACAACAGATTCAGAAAGGAGAGCTGCAGTGAGAGTTTTACTGAAGAAAGAGGAGGTGGAAAAGAAGAAATTACTCCTTGATGAATCTCTATTCTTCCTCCAAAGTCCAAAAGCTGCTTCCAGAAGCCCTCCCTGATCCCCAGGCTGGGTTGGGCACCTCCACTGGGTTCCCGCAGTCCTCTGGGCTTCCCACCACAGCTCTGACCACTGTGGGCTATCACTGTCTGAGCGCCCACCACACTCACTGGATCAGGAGCCCCATGCGTGCAGGGCCCACCCAGGGTACAGAGGAGGCACGTATTAAATGTGAGTTGAATAGATTAGCAGAACTCCAGAGAAAGGGAAAAGGCTGGAAGCCTCATTCTCATTTTTGGGAAGAATAACACAGGAACAGTTTGTTTGGAAAAGGGAGGCCAGAAGTGGTTTTCTCAGCCATTTGCAAGCCCCTGAAGGGTTGCCAGGAAGAAGATCCGTGGCTGGTGCTGCTCACCAGGACTGGGAGGTAGTTACAGAGAGGTGGATGTGATTTGCAAGAAAGCAAAATATGCTGCCCTGTTCCTCCCTTGCTGGAAGAATTTAAACTGAGGCCAGATAGCAAGCAGCCTGGGACCCCCCTGGACCTTTTACGAGGCAACAAAGTATAGTGGCTAAAGAGCGAGGGCTCTGGAGACAGACTGCAAGGTTCCCACCCTGACTCCTCTGCTTGGCAAGCAGCTTCACCACTCTATGCCTCAGTTTCCTCGTCATTACTATGGGACTATCACAGCAGCGACGTCATAGGGTGGTTGTAAGGACTCAGATAATGCACGTAAAGTACTTACAGCAGGGCCTGGCACACAGTCAGCACCCATTAATGCTAATTATTATTGCTTTTCTTCTCCTGCGGAGCCAGACACTGCTGGTTGGCTAAAACAAATGACATTCTCAATTCCTTTTTCTCTGAACTCCTCCTCATAAAGATTGAAAAGTTAAATGAAATTTCCCAACTTCCTTGGAGCTAGGGAAGGTTACATGACATTTCTGGCCAATAAGATGCAAGTGGAATCTTCTGGGGAATTGTGGGAAAGCTTAAGTGGTCCAGAACTGAAACACATGTGGCACCGGAATTGATCCTTTCCTCTCTGTCGTACCTGGAGCTGCAGCATCAACTTTACAACTGTGAGGGGAAAGGCCAAGAGAACCAAAGAGGCTCCAGCCCTGATACTGATCAGCCACTGAACTAACACCGGCAGCCAAGTATCCCCAGGTTTGCTGTTATGGGAGAGAAATCAATCCTTATTCGTTTAAGCTGTTGTGAGCTGGGTTTTCTGTTCTTGAAGCTGAAATCATTCCTGGCCGATGCCCCCACTATGACACAAATGGCTTAGGCACATGGTCATGGTAATCATTTGCCAGCCTCAGCTCAGGCCGACAGTTGGGAACCCCTGATCTAGAGGAAAAACAGTGGAAGGCTGAGACAATACAGTGTTTACCAAACCTCAGTCATTGCATTCCACCTTTCCTTTTCAGCTCCATCTACATCCTATCTGTACGATTATTTACTAAATGTTTCCTTTAAATCAACTCACTTATAAACTTAAATATATATATATATTTAAAAAAGGAATCTATATCACCACTATGAATGAAAAATTGGAATCTTTTGTTACAAGAAAAGGGTAACAAAAAATAAACACAATGAAAACAAGCAAAATATAGTCGTCCATGTACCACTAGAAATGATCTGAGGTGAGATAATTTGTGTTCAGTGGACTAGCAAAAATTCCTTATTTTTCTCCTCTATTGGAGAAAAAATATCAGAAGATCTGGAAATACTGGGCATTTCCACAGGGCAACAATGGGCTATAGCTGAGCAGGGGCTGCCCCTCAGAGAGGTAATGCATTTTCCTGTTTGCCCTGATTCCTGAAACACTGTTCAGAAGTGAGGTGATTTGTCTGAGACCTCCCAGCTGGCCAGCAGAAGAATTAGGCCAGGCACTGCCTTATTTCTTCCACCTTTCAGGGCTTCCTCAGAGAGGCCTTCTCCGAACCTTTTGTCCCTTGTACTCCCAGTCCCCTTCCCTGTTATATTCATTTCTATATACTTCTACAATACTTATCCCCATCTGACTTATTCTATATTCACTTTTTATCTGTTTATTGTTTTATCCTTCAGTAGAATGTCAGGTGCTTCACTGCCAGCATCATGGGGCCCACTCGGGGTCCTGAGGCATGAAGCCGGGAACTGGACCCTCCTCCCACAACCAGACACACCACCAGTGCCACGGGGCCCACCCGGGGTCCTGAGGCATGAATACAGGGATCAGACTCTCCTCCCACAACCAGGCACATTGCCATTGCCACCACCAACTATGTAAGGAGCATGTCAAAAACATCACCTCCACGTGGATGGCCCACCACAGCCACCATAATAACCATGGCTGCCGTGAAAGAGGCTAGACACCACAACCACTGTGCAGATGGTCCACCAGCCACTGGAGTGCACTGACACAAGGAGAGTCACCAGCAGAGACCAAAGAAAAGAAGAGGATGTTTCTCTCCACAAAGCTCATTCCGGAGTGACAGAAGAAGCATCTGCTCTACGATAATACTGGGGGACCTGACCACACCTCTCAACACTGGACAGATCATCTAGACAACAAATCAACAGAGTAACCATTACTCTTTCAGAAGGAGAGAAGAAATCTAGGGTAATTGGGTGGAGGGGGAGATGGGGAGAGATTTGACAAGGGGCATAAAGAATAAGTACGATTTGTAACAATATATATGCTAGTAATATTTATTGATTTTTTCAACATATGTCAACACTGAACCCCAAAAATGTGTATAATCAGTTAATTCAATAAAAATTTTTTTAAAAAATTAAAACCGAAATGTAAAAAATAAAATTAAATAAATTTACAAATACTGCTTGGGAAAAAAAAAAAAAGAATGTCGGGTGCTTTAGGGAAAGGATTTCGTCTGTTTTGTTTATTCCTGAATTCCCAGTGCCTGAAACCTAAGAATAGGTGCTCAAATGCATATTTCTTGAGTGAAGGAAAGAAACGAATGAATGAACAAATTAAACCTCATCTCTTCCTTTCCAGTTCCCTAAGGCCCAGGTTACCATGTAGGAAAAACGTCAGTCATCCTGCAGTTTGAGAGGTGACACTAAGAATTCACTCGGATTTGGGACTTTTTACCACACTAAAAAGGAATGTGTTATATTAAAACAAAAATCATCTATGAGTCTATATGAAATAAATTAATAACAGAATAAAGAAATAAATGAGGGGGAAGGGACAGCTCTTTCTTACAGAAGAATGCCAATTAATAAATGCAGAAGCAATCAGGGACATATAAAAAAATCACCATCAGGGACATACCACAGAAATAATTGTTGCAGGCAAGATCCATCCACCAATGGATGCTCAAATCAGTGGATGGAAGTTTGAGGATATAGCACAGTCTCAGAGTATCTGCCCCAAGATACCTATTAATTACAAAGGGAAAACAGTAACTTTATAGTGGAGAGACCACCTTCGCCAAGTGATCCAGGTGGACATCACCAGTAATAAGATGCATAGACATCATGGAGGGTGCATCACCTCTGTGCTGTTCTTCCACATTATGCATAACCTCCACTGAGTCATGAGAACACACCAGACAAAGCTAAATTGAGACATTCTACAAAATAACAGAGCAGTCCACTTCGAAAATGTCTAAACTCCAAGAACTGCACATCAAAGAGTGAATTTTAGTATATGCAAAAATGTTTAATTGTATTAAACAAACAAACAAAAAAAAGCGTGCAATACACAGATGGATGCTTATGAACAAAGCTCTCCAAGACAGGCTACTGCTGGGGACAGTGCAGTGCGAGGCATGCTGTAGAAGCATCCATGTAGCATGGTTCCTTTTCCTAACACAGCAAACTAAAATAATAAGTGTATATATCCATAAGCAGGAATGTTCATGTACCGAAAAGGTCTGGCAGGACACCTACCCAGTGACAGACAGCAATTACCTCCGAGGGAAGATATTAGGCTTGTGGGTGATGAAAGGGACAGTGAAGGAAACTTCCATTTTCCCTTTGATACTCTTCTGTATAACTTTTTAAAAAAATAATGATGATGCTTATATATGTATTTTAGTCATGAAATTTAAGCAAAGAAATGGCCATACTGTACTCACCCTAAGTACGTTCTGGACACTAGTACTCCTTGAGGGTCCCAGGAGAGCTGATGTCAAAAACTGTGCATCTACACAGAGGGGAAAAAAGAGGTCATGTCTTTTTTTTTTTTTTTCCCCTTTTTTTGTCTTTTTCGTGTCCAGCAACGGATCGCAACCTTCAGTGTCGCGCCCATACCGGACCGGGACCGGCAACGGGATCGCAACCCCCGGGGCTGCGCCCGCACCTCGCTCAGCCAGTGAGCGGCCAGTCTGTATGTGGGATCCGAACCCTCGGCGGGAGCGCCGCCGTGCTCCCAAGTGCGCCACCGGGCCGGGCCAAGAGGTCATGTCTTTTTTTTTTTTTTTCCCCTTTTTTTGTCTTTTTCGGGTCCAGCAACGGATCGCAACCTTCAGTGTCGCGCCCATACCGGACCGGGACCGGCAACGGGATCGCAACCCCCGGGGCTGCGCCCGCACCTCGCTCAGCCAGTGAGCGGCCAGTCTGTATGTGGGATCCGAACCCTCGGCGGGAGCGCCGCCGTGCTCCCAAGTGCGCCACCGGGCCGGCCCAAGAGGTCATGTCTTTGGCCAACTTCAGCTGTCCTGCCGCACATCCATCATTCATATACATACTCCCTCAACAAATACTTACTGAACACTTGCTATGTGCCATGCACTGAGAATACACTAGTAGCCAAGACGAATTTGCTGTCCTCAGGGAGCAGATATTCTAGTAGGAAAGGAGGACGATAAACAAATAGGCAAACCAAGCCAGAGAGTGGTCAGTGCCTTGATGCAAACTAAACAGGGTGAGGAGAGTGATGGACTGCTATTTTACGCAGACTGCTCATGAAGGCCTGTCAGGAGAGGATAGAGGCCTGAACACACGTGACCACAAACTTGTGACCATCTGGGAAAAGAGTCTTCCAGGACACAGGAACAGCCAGTACAAAGGCCCTGAGGTTGGGGCATGTGTGGAGCATTTCAGGAGCAGCCGGGAGGCCCATGTCGCTGTCACAGGATGAGTGAGGGGGTGACTAGTAGGAGGTGAGGGCAGGGAGGTGATAGGGGCAGATGGAGGGCTACTGTGACATTTCTTTCAGACAACTGTAAGCAGAGGAATGACAGAAATAGCACTTGTCCTGATTTATAACTTTATATTACGAATTTATGTTTTTGAATATTTAGTACAGTTGTTTATATTTGAATGGATATTTCATGGATGAATGAATGCCTCCAGGCTGAGACACCATTGTCTGTATCGCTCACCATCATGTTCTGGGTGCCGGCACAGGCCGGGCACTAAGTCAGGGAGATGAGATCTGAGAGGATGACCAAGAGCCATCCTATACAGAGTGGCCATTAACAAATGACCCACACTCCCAATGTGTCAGCTCTGTCCTAGCAGACACGTGCTGACTCATTTCCCTCTCCCACTTACCCTAAGAAGTAGAAACTATTATTATTCCTGTGTTACAGATGAAGCAACTGAGGCAGAGTGGGTAAGGAACCACTAGTTGAGGGTGCACAGTCAGTCAAAAGTATACTACAGCCCGGATGTGAACCTAGGCAGCCTGGCTCGAGCCTACTCCTGACCACTTGGCTAGACTACACAATGACGGGGGCCTAACTTCAGGCTGGCAATGTCTTCTTGACCCACTTCTCCAATACTGTAATGTCTAAATGCTACCCAAACACCAAGGACAAGCTCAAATGCCAGTCAGCTCTTCTAGGAAGCCTCCTCGGAAGGAAACCTAGCAAGCAGCTAGCCGACTTGTCAGAGTTCAGGCATCAGGACACCTTCAATAATCCTGCCCCAGGGGGTTCCTGGAGAAACCCAAGGCAGTTGTTAACCTCTCTCATGCCAGGGATCCCTGACAGCAGATTGGTGAAGAAGGATGTAGAGTCCTCAGAACTCACAATATTTTTGAATGTATAAAATACAATAAACAACATTACAAAAAAACCCAATCATATTCAGATATCAAAATATCTGTAAAACAAATCCCAATCTGAGATACAGTAATATCTGTGCTTCTTTTACTAATGCTTTAAATAATAAGATCTAGTTGTTATAGTCCAATAACTATAGTAATTTAGAAATAGATGAGTGTAAATGACATTTTATGATATCTGCAACAACTGTAACATGATACAGAAATACCCATGATTTCTAGTGGTGACAAAGTCACAGGTGTTGCTAATACAATTGTGGTCTGTTGCCCTCATTCATAAGGAAATACTAAATTTCAGTTTGGTGGTAGAGAAAACAGAGATGTAATATTTTTCCCATCCAACTTCATGATCCTCTAAGGGATCCACCCTTCAAGGGTCCATACACCCAAGATTAAGAACCCCTAAACCAGACCTGAGAGAGGGTAAAGGCAGAGTGGGTTCCAAGGGAAGGTAACAATTGGGGAGTATGGGGCAGATTCAGCCTCGTGAACTTAATGTGGAGAGGGGCGTGAGTGTTGGCTGTTTTGGCCCACCCTACAACCATTCCCTTCCTGGGTCAGCTCCTGAACCTCACCTTTCCCACTCAGCCTATGGAATTCCTGTGGGAATGACCCCACACATGGGTTGGGGGAGAGTGGGACTGGTCATCTGATCCAGGCCTGGCCAATAAAGCCATAGCACTCTTCCCTGTTCCTGGCTTCAGAGATGAATGAGGGTGGCCTTTGCATCAAACCACGAAGCCAGGATAAGAGCCAGTAAACACCAGCCCTTGGACATGTGCTAGGACTATGGGAAAAGAGATGGTTTATTTCTCCTCGGGCTGCTACACTGGTTGGATCTACCTGTGGAACTGTCAGGGGCTGCCTCAGAGCCTCCCTGAGAATAAAACCAACAAAGAGGAATACAGAATCAGGAGGGAGAAAGGAACAGCATCCTGGTAACCTCATGTGAGGCTCTGGATCCAGCCATGCCTGCAGCCATTACAAGTAGAATCTCCCAGGCTGTAAGTCTATACGTTTTCTTTTATACTTAAAAGTCGGTTGACGTGAGTTTTGTATTTGTTCACACAACCAAATGACTCTCAACTAACACAAAAGGGCAGAGGCAACTGCTGTTCTTGATGATTCCCATAGCTCACTACCAGGCCATTCAGAAAAGTACAAAACAAAATCAGAAACAGTTACTAATACAGAAAAATATAGAAAGCAAAATACAGAAAAACACACACTTTAAAAAGGCTCAGAAATGGCTTCTTGGGCAGTTGCTATCGTTAAGCTGGTTTATGAAGCCTGAACAATTTTGGTTGTCAAGATGCTTGGCAGGACAGGAGGGAACCAAAGCATCCAGAACATTTCCTTTATCATCAGACTTCCCAATAAAAAATTCCTGGAATGATCAGGAAGCCCCTGCAACAAAACTCTTCTAAAATTTTAACAACCACCTTTTAAATTGCAGTGGACACTACTTTTCTGCCACTCTAATTTCTCTCCCTTTCTTTCTCTAAAGTGATGCATGTGGCTCTTTAAAGGCAGGTTGGCAGTGATGTGCAGTGACACCAAGTCTCTCTGAGTTGGGAACCAACTTCCTGCTGACTGAAAATGTGAATGTCCATCAGTCTGGGATCCCACACACAGCAGAGAAGAAAATGCCAAGGGTTGGTGGAACCAGAAGCAAAGGAGGGCTACAGGGCCAGGAATTCACTCTACTTCACTCTACCTGGGAAGGGAGGATGCCCTTGGAGGATGCCTCAGCCATCCCAGAACACCCATGGCCATGGCCCATCTGTCATGCACATTACACTCACAGGCCAAGCACCTCACTTCCATGGGTTTATACCGAAAACCAAATCCCAGATGAGAGAATGAGTGGGGGAGGGAATATCCTAGCCTGACTCCTGGCCTGCATGTTTCCTCCCCTCAGCCACAGGGATTGGCTCTGGCATGATCCAAGCAGGGCCAATCAGAGCTGGCCCTGGAAATTTTGCTGCAATTACTGGAGGAAAGAGATGGATGTGAGGCAGAGACTGCTGAGGGATTCTTTGCCACCCTGAGGGGCAGTGGGGAGACTCAGAAAGAAGTCAAAGCTAACAGGCAGAGCCCAGAAGTGAAGAGGCGCACATTCCTGATGAAAATACCTGAGTGGTGACTCCAGTTAGGCCAGCTCTGGGGTTTTCAGGTCCCTGAGCCATTAACTTTCTTTTGCAGTTTAAGCCAGTTTGAGCTGGGGAGATCAGCACTTACAACAGACTAATAGAACAGACAGGAACCTTAGAAGTCAATACAGCACACCTTCGTGTTTGGGTGGATATGACCCTTCAAAGAGGCTTATGCGGACTGGCCAATTAGCTCACTCAGTTATTATACTCGGTAGAGCGTTGTGCTGATAATACCAAGGTCAAGGGTTTGGAACCCCATACTGGCCAGCCACCAAAACAAAAACAAGACAAAAAAAAAAAGACAAAGAAGCCGATGAAGCAAAACTATGTTCATGTCTCTCCAGGAAAAAAAAAAAACAACAACACAGAACACTGCATATCTCAAGGACGTCAGAGACTTCTGAAGCCCCCATCTATAGGAACTCAGTGAAAATGCTTTGATCCAGTCTGACCTGCTCACTTGACGGATAAGGAAACTAATATTCAAAATGTTTAGATGACTTATCTGGGGTCCAGGGCCAGCTGGGAGGCAGAGCTAGGCCCCCTAGAGCCCCAGGAGGTTTCAACTTGAACTCCCCTGAGTACAGTCCTCTGGGGAGAATGCAGAAAGTAAGGGGAGGCAGTGAGTGAGGATCTAGGTCTCCATACCTACATTTCACCTACAGTAACCCCGCTTTTTTTCTTTTTTATGAAATGGTCTTTCAGAGAAATGACTGACAAAAGTGCCACAACTCCATACAAAACCAATGTCTTATATTACTTTTCAGAGAACTTACATGTTAATATCTTGGTTTTGATCCTCACTGACACCCTATGAAGCAGGCATTATCACCACGGCTCTGGGCCAGCCAGGGCGCTGCTCTCCTGCCCCCAGTGCACACCTGTGCTTTTCTGTGCTTGTACTTCTGGCCCTGACTTTTCTCTTCCACCCTCATATTTCCATCTCAACTCATGTGGAAGGGATTATCCACTCACACC